ACATTTTTGAGGGTTATTGTTTATTAACTAAAACTACTGAAAAACATTTTTGTTAATTAAAATAAAATAAATATGAACTGAAATAAAATATAGTATTTTATTTCAGCTAGTTGCCAAAGCAACATTTTACATTTTTGTTTAGTTTAACTGAAAAATGTAAAACTACATAGACATTAATAATAATAATAAAAAGGTTACATTTAAACGTAAACGTTAAATTTGGTTAAAATGGTTACAAAAAGTAACCTTAAAAGGGTCAAATGAAATTAAACTGAAATTAAATGAAATTAAAACTATACAGACATTTAAATAATGACAAATAATAAACACAAAAATGGCAAAAAATACACAATACAATTACTAAAACTTTAATAAAAAAAAAAACAGAAAATATAAAAATAAAAAAATTCAAAATATTAATAAAAATGTTAATGACGCTGAAATAACACTTTCATTCTCCAATCTCAAAGTTACACTGAAATTCAACACAAAAATGCAGTTTGTACAGGCTCAAACAATGCAAAGGCATTTTTAAGGAACTCCAGTGATATCAGTGCATATTGAGCAGTGCTTATATGAATGATGAATGAAATATTCCCTGCAGATATATAAAGGTACACGACCCATTTGGGTGGGCAAGTTAAAGTCACACAAACAAACCCTTCCCACCGACATCAGACAGCAACGGCGATCATTGCTTGAACGGCACAGCTAATATAAGACGCTCAGAACACGGTAACAGTCCCTGACGTTATACTGACAAACTGTCAGATTCGACAAAAAAGCATGTATCAAATATGTACACGTGTATATGTGTGTGTCTGTGTGTAGATATATGTGCGTCATGTGTAAGTATAAAAATAATTTAAACGCTTCAAAGATATATCACACTATTAAATGTATGTGTTTATATGTTGACCTCTATATATTGTACTCGACTGAGTTCTTCAAAGCATTACAAGACACGAGAGTAACTAAAGATGCGTACAGACATTTCAAGACACAATCAGAGAGATTCTGCGTTTCTGGATGGAGGAAGACTGCAGATCTGTGGGCTGTTCAATCATCCACAGCGTTAAAAACAGCATCGTCTATGAGTCTCAAGAGCTGTTCACACTGCAGCTAAAATGTCATGAAATACACTACTGTTGTTGTTGTTTTTGGAAGAAATTAATATATTCACTAAGAACACATGAAATCGATCAAAGTGACAGTAAAGACATTTATAATGTTACAAAAGATTTCTATTTCAAATAAATGCTGTTTTTTTTAACTTTCTATTCATCAAAGAAGCCTAAAAATGACAGCTTCTGCAAAAATATTATATTTTCAACATTAATAATAATCAGAAATGTTTGTTGAGCAGCAAATCAGCATATTAGAATGATTTCTGAAGATCATGTGACACTGAAGACTGCAGTAATGATGCTGAAAATTCAGCTTTGATCAAAGGAATAAATCACATTTGACTATATATTCACATAGAAAACTAAATTGTAATAATATTTCACAATTTTACTGTTTTTACTGACATTTTTGAGCTAATAAATGCAGGCATGGTGAGCAGAAGAGACTTATTTCCAAAACATTTTAACTTTAAAACTGTGATTTATATACTATGTGCAAAAAAACAAAACAAAAAAAGATTCAGAATGCACAGATACTTCCGAATGGCTGTAAATGGAGAAAAACAATGGTTATGAAAACGAAAAGCTTGGTTCGTTGCTGTAAAACGCTGTCAGTGTGAACGGCCCTTCAGAGACCGTACGATGGCGTCACGATCTTTGGCTTCCAGATGACACACAAACATGTATCAGAGTCACCGCAGAAACAAATCACAGTTCACAGACCCCGAGGGAATCGCTTGCTCTGGGAAACGTCTCTGAACGTCACAAACCGGCGTCAGATCTGCAAAGAAAGCAATAGCACACACCACCCAGGCTGTGATGGATAACAGCGCTGCGCTCACATCTCCACGGACGGCATAATGAGTGTGTGTTTCTCACAGCTCTCTGGAGACGACTTTAACCTTGAGAGGAGTTTGAGTCGTGATTTATCTGCTACGGGCTCAGAAACATGAGGGCTGTGTTCAGAACAGAGCAGAACATACTACTATTTCTACAGTATGTTTACATGTCCATTTTCTGTGCGTGACCCAATGCATTTGACAAAATGTGCAACTGGAGCACGCTGTATGAAATACTGTAATTGCACTATGCCAGTGTTTCTCAACCTTTTTGACTCCAAGGGCCCTCATTGTCCACAACAATATAAAAAAAAACATAAAGCCCTAGTTTTGTTTCACAAAATGCATTTTGATTTATGTGAACTCCTTAAAATAAAAAAGCATCTGTTTCTGTTTCTGAAAATAAAAAAGCATCTGAAATAAACATAATTAAAGTTTTAAATAATTACATTTCAGGATTGCAGACGTTTTAGGGGCTGAAGTTTCCTGAATTTGCATGACTTTTCCAGTCTTTCCTGATTTACTGGATAAAAATTAAGCATAAGCATCATTTTTACTCACAATTTCTACCCGATAAAATATTTCAGAGCTTGGCATAGCTAGTAAAATGTATATTGATTATAAAAGTGCCTAAGGAGGTTTACGATTTTATTAATTTATATGATTTTTAAGATACAGAAATCACTTTCAAAATGAGGATTTCTCATCCAGGTTTTCAAAGACTGTGGGAACCCTGGTTCAGTGTTAGTGTAATTTTATTTAGTTAACTGATCATTTATATTATATTTTATTATTTAGTCAATAATTTATTCATTTTTTCTATTTTTAATTTTAGTTTTAAAGGTTTTGGTTGTGTGTCATTTTCACTAGTTATTGTTTTTTATATGTCTATATAGATTTATTCATTTTTGCTTCAGTTTTAGTTTTAGTTATTTTAGTACTTCAGGTTAAACTAAATGAAAATGAGAAATTGTGTTTTGGCAATAGCTGAAATAATTAAAAAAAAATTTAAACTTCATTTTATTTTAGTATATGTTTTTTTTTTTATTCCAATTAACAATCTTTAGTTACTTTTGGTTTGAGTTTTAGTTACTCAAAATTTGATTTTTTTTTTTTTTGCTTTAGCTTGTTTAAATGCTTGTTTTGTCTTTTTAAATTATATTTTAAATCATTTAAGTAATTTTGAGGCCCCGGACCCCTGGTTGAGAACCACTGCAAAATGCTCAACTTTATTTCCAGTGTGACAAATGAACTAGAAATGTCAGCCACAATTTTGACTATTTGGATTCATTATTTGATCATTTGACTGCCTTAAATTCACACCTTAGTGCACAAAATTTAATAAAAAATTGCCAACAATCGTATTTATTCAACATCATAACTGGACGCCACTCGCATGCAATTCAAAAAGGACAATTATTTAAAACATTCATCATGAAATAACGCTTGCATTTTAAAAATAGTACTGTATACTGTGTGCAGTATTCTAGTAAAGTAGTATGTCAGTATTCCAATCCAAACACAGCACAGATAATAAACCCGTCTGCAGCCAGAACGCCACGCTCTCAGATCAATGACATAAAAGAGAAACAAAGCAAGATAGGATATGAATCATTGCATATTTCAAGAAGACATCCTATTCATCTTATTCATTCTAAAAGTTAAAACGCACACAGAAGGATCCTCAAATCTCAGCGTTCGCTCTGAGCTCCGCTAATTGCTCTGAAGTTCAAAAGTAGCACACGAGCCGGAGAGCTGAATGTTTTGAAGTGCAGATATTTTATGCATCGCTTGCACAAACATCAGAAACAGCCCCGAAAATCTGCTTACGGATCCATCTACACCGATTTCCCTACGAACGCAACAACTACAGGCTTCCTCCTTTAATCTGTTACATATACAGAGGCCAAACTGATGCTGTTTCAGGCAGAAAACATCAGGAAAACTGTCTGAAAGTGATGCAGTTTAAAAAAGTCAACATGGAAACAAAACTTCTCCATGTTATCCAATGGAATGCACAGATATTGGATGCAGTGCGAATCAAGTAAGCCAATGATTCAGTGACTGATTCATAAAGACAGTCACTTTCTTCGTTTCTGAAAGAATCAGCTGTTTGAACGAATCAAGTAAGCCAATGATTCAGTGACTGATTCATAAAGACAGTCACTTTCTTCGTTTCTGAAAGAATCAGCTGTTTGAACGAATCAAGTAAGCCAATGATTCAGTGACTGATTCATAAAGACAGTCACTTTCTTCGTTTCTGAAAGAATCAGCTGTTTGAACGAATCAAGTAAGCCAATGATTCAGTGACTGATTCATAAAGACAGTCACTTTCTTCGTTTCTGAAAGAATCAGCTGTTTGAACGAATCAAGTAAGCCAATGATTCAGTGACTGATTCATAAAGACAGTCACTTTCTTCGTTTCTGAAAGAATCAGCTGTTTGAACGAATCAAGTAAGCCAATGATTCAGTGACTGATTCATAAAGACAGTCACTTTCTTCGTTTCTGAATGAATCAGTGTTTTTGAATGAATCAAGTGAGCCAATGATTCAGTGACTGATTCATAAAGACAGTCACTTTCTTCGTTTCTGAAAGAATCAGCATGATTAATCTGCAACTGATTAGATTAAACAATTTGAATCACTTGACAGGCCTAGATATGTCATATTATATCTGTAGAGGCATCGCCACTGAAAAACCCATATCGGTCAACCACTAATGTGTGTGTATATACAACTACCACATGCACTGGTCTGAGCCGAGATGCATTCTGGGTAGCCTTGAAAAAGAGCGTTGCAAGAGATAGAGAGAGAGAAAGAGAGCTGTGACAGTGAATGAGGAACAGATTAGAGTAATTTGTATTGATTTCGTCACTCCATCTTCCACATCTCCTCGTCTTTCACTCAGGGTCAGCGAGGACCGTCGTTCCCAGAGAGGTCAAAGGTCTCTCCGGCGGTCAGGAACTCCTCAGCTTGTGTGTGTGTGTGTGTGTGTGTGTGTGTGGACCGAGCTATGAAAAGACACAATTTTCACTTAGTTGAATTCCCTGCCTGAGGCACGATCATGTGAACCATAATTATATTCTCTTGGAATAAAGACATCTGTGTCTGGAGTTTTCACGATGGTGAAGATCAAACGACGGTCCCACGCCATGATTAGCAACTTCAACACCTGAAATGAGCCATAAAAACAATGTGAACCTGCATTCACAGCGCGTACAAATATTTATTAATATCATATAATATATGATTATGATTGTAATTAATAATCATATATATTATTTAGTAAAAGTTTTAGTAATTATTAGCTGTGTTATTTATTTATATATATATATTTTTAAAGATATGTCTATACAGTTTTTGTTTATTTTTATTTCAGTTTTTGTTATTTCGTTTTTTAGCACATCACATTAATGACAACTTCATGAAAATGAGAAATGTTTCTTTGGCGACATACAGTAATAGCTGAAATAATATTTCAGTAAACATTTATTTTATTTTGAATTATATTTTATATATAGTTTTAGTTTACTATAACGACCCTGGTATAGTCAATATTTAATTTAATCCATCCAACATTTCGGATTCTGGAATTCATGATTTTGGAATTAAAATAAATAAATACATATAAGTTTTCTATTTTCTTATAGTCTTCAAACAACACTGGATGGACACCTTAACATGTCAAAATAATGAAAACAAGTATTTTTTTATTTATAATTATTTATAATTTTTATTTTTTTATTTTAATAATTGTTCATTAAATAAAACAACACATTTAAAAAAAATGAAAGATCCATTGATTTACATCAGATCTCGATTCTCACCTTCCGTCCTTTCTCGTTGTCTGGTAAGTAGCAGTGTCGAGGAAATCCGCGTGCGCTGTACTTTTTCCCGGGATTCGGGTGCTCTGTGGTCTGGACAAAACACACACAAAACACACACGGTCACACTTCACACACCGCTCGCTCAATTAGCACACAGCGGAGAGGAAACGCTAACGACGGCCTGAGGCCTGCTGTTATTCAGAGCCGTGAACACGAGATCCGTCGCGCTGAACACATCACAGCTTCACACACAGATCAAAGCCAGACCAGCAGAACAGCATTACTGCAGTGAATGAAGCTTTAGACTCAATCCCTCTCATCTCACAAAACACACACACTCACAGCCTGCGCTGGGAATATTAATGAGCAGATATCATGGGGAAAAGGATTTTCTTGCTCCTTTGAATTAGTTTGATGCACTGTGTTACATATTTGAACATTCACATCCTCATATTATTTATTAGCATCATTATAGCTGTCAGTAGATCATTCACATGTAGAAGTCTAAAAAGTACAATAACAAAAACAGGACTTTTAATTGTCACTGTCAGAAAGACGGTGGAAAATGATCAGGCAAAGCTAAACTGCAACTATTTTTGTGCAAGAATCATTTCCTAATAATATAGTTAACTAAAACAATAAGAAACATTTTTGTATAACTGAACTAAAATAAAATATGAAAATTGTTTAAAAATTGGCTAGTTGCCAATGCAACATTTCTCATTTTCATTTAGTTTAACTTGATGTAGTAAAATAACTAAAACTGAAATATAAAATAATAAAAAACTATATAGACATATTTTGTCAAACTAAAATGAACATGGAAAAAAACTTTAAAAATATTACAAAAAACTATAATATTATCTCAATGATTCTAAAATAACACTGAACTATATTTCTATATCCATAAATACAAAAATGTATCTCTAAAATTAAAATTCTAAACTTGATAAAGTATATAAAATATATACAAATAGAAATGTAATATATGAATAATTGCATATATAAATTACAAATATATTTAATTATTTAATATATAAATATTAATACTTATATGTTTCGATTGTAGTATTCTTAATATAAATAAATATTAATAAATATTTGTGTATTTTTTATTGCCTAACTACTCTCCAAATTACTAAACTACAATTACATTATTAAAACTCCAACTAACTAGAACTACATAGAACTACATTTCTTGGCATGTTGAGGGTGTTAGTGATATTTTTTATCAAGTTAATCTTATGACGTCGGAGCCCAGAAAGTGAGTGGGTGGCTGATCGTGCAAAACTAGTGTGCAAGTACATGAGAGATAATGACCCAGAATGAGCTGCGCCACTGCCCCCATTGAGCAGGAATTCCCCACGCAGCCACTTCCTGTCTCACGGATGGTAAAACATGGTGACCAGAAGCCACAAGCCCACGGGTCATTCTGCAGCAACAGCCTGACATATTAAATATGGGTGCAAAGCCTTTCTCTATGAAAACTGGGCCGCCTGAAGCGAAGAACAAACATTTCAGTTCACACACCTCTTCCTACAAATGGCCTTTTGTGTCCCTCATTAACATCTGTGTAAATAATGATAGTAATATTCATTTTAATAAAAATAAAAAAAATCCAGTAACTATTGTATTGTTTTTTCTTTCTTTATGACAGCATCTTTTACAGCCTGTTGTGTTTCCAACGCCTCCTAGCTGTATTTGCAAACACGCACAATGAAAATAAAATTTAAAAAAAAAAAGGTATTTACTTGGATGTAAAAATGTACTCATTTCTGTACAGAGTTAAGCTGTTTACTTTAAAATAAAATGTAAAATAAAAATAAAAATATTTTAAATAAAATGAATAAAAACCTTTGTGCAGAGTTGAACTATTTTATTGAATGTAAATAAAATAAAAATATCCAATACATTAAAATGATTTCTAATAAGAATAACTTCAAAACTGTCATTTTTATCATTGCTTATATAGTGAAAATTAAGTTATCTTAAAAATATTCAAACTTCAAGACATTTTTTTCTAACAAAGTTTATATTTACTTATTATTTAGAAATGTATTTCTAATCATTTCTGAAGAAATGTTAAAAATGTATTTATTTATTATGCTTATATTAATTTGGAATAATCTGTGGAATTGAATATACCTGTATCCCAGCAGGAATGTCATAGACGATCCGTATAGTCTTGGTGTCAGAGCATCCAGGTAGAGAATGAGGAATCACATTGTACTCCATCTTCCCAGGAGGCTGTGTGCCGGTTTTCTCCCCGTAGATGGCCTTACAGGTGGGACACTGCAGACTGCCATCCTGAGAACAACATCAGACACATTAAACACAACAACAACACCCGAGGAAACTCAGGAGAGCTCGTGATGGATCAGCTGGGACATTCAGAGGCATCGGAGACATGCAGTACAATCGTACCAATATGTGTGTTTATGTTTCATGCTCAGATGCACTTCATTAAAGATGAGCAAAATAATGCAGTACTGACACACTGTGTGGATGCAGCGGCACACAAAAGCAAATATTTTCAGTTACCAACATCATTATTGTACTCTATTCACAGATGTATTTGTCACCCGTGATTCATTTATAATAGTGTTTTCTTTCCTGTAGTTTAAACATTACAGCATGGTGCTTGCAACATCAAAGTCATGGGTTCAATTCCTACACTCTAAAAAAATGCTGGGTTCAGCTTGTTGGGTCATTTTATTGGGTTGTTTTTAATATTTTTACCCAGGTGCTGGGTAGTTTTTCTGCACTCTAAAAAATGCTGGGTTATATTTTAAACCCAAATGCTGGGTTCAGCTTATAGGGTCACTTTATTGGGTTGTTTTTAATATTTTTACCCAGGTGCTGGGTAGTTTTTCTGCACTCTAAAAAATGCTGGGTTATATTTTAAACCCAAATGCTGGGTTCAGCTTGTTGGGTCATTTTATTGGGTTGCTTTTAATATTTTTACCCAGGGGCTGGTTGTTTTTCTGCACTCTAAAAAATGCTGGGTTATATTTTAAACCCAAATGCTGGGTTCAGCTTGTTGGGTCATTTTATTGGGTTGCTTTTAATATTTTTACCCAGGTGCTGGGTAGTTTTTCTGCACTCTAAAAAATGCTGGGTTATATTTTAAACCCAAATGCTGGGTTCAGCTTGTTGGGTCATTTTATTGGGTTGCTTTTAATATTTTTACCCAGGTGCTGGTTGTTTTTCTGCACTCTAAAAAATGCTGGGTTATATTTTAAACCCAAATGCTGGGTTCAGCTTGTTGGGTCATTTTATTGGGTTGCTTTTAATATTTTTACCCAGGGGCTGGTTGTTTTTCTGCACTCTAAAAAATGCTGGGTTATATTTTAAACCCAAATGCTGGGTTCAGCTTGTTGGGTCATTTTATTGGGTTGCTTTTAATATTTTTACCCAGGGGCTGGTTGTTTTTCTGCACTCTAAAAAATGCTGGGTTATATTTTAAACCCAAATGCTGGGTTCAGCTTGTTGGGTCATTTTATTGGGTTGCTTTTAATATTTTTACCCAGGGGCTGGTTGTTTTTCTGCACTCTAAAAAATGCTGGGTTATATTTTAAACCCAAATGCTGGGTTCAGCTTGTTGGGTCATTTTATTGGGTTGCTTTTAATATTTTTACCCAGGTGTTGGGTAGTTTTTCTGCACTCTAAAAAAAACAAACTGATTTTATTCATTATAATACTGAATTTAATTTAATTTGATTTTAAAATATGTTCTCTAATCTCAGTACTGTTTGTTAATGGGCAGGTTATGAAGTCAGTCACAGCACCTTTCAGCTACAAGTGAAACGCGAGGCCACAGTCTAAAGTTTGCAGATCCCCCGGCAAACAGCAGCCCATCACCGGTTCAGATTTCGGCGACGAGAATTAGCACTATTTCGGTGAAAAGTGGTTACAGAGAATGGTTGAATACACTTAAATTAAAATGCTACTTTTAAATGTTATATTTTTATTTCTAAAATGCTTGTTAAATGGTTAAATTGTAAAATTACTTCTGATCAAATGAATTACTGAAACTGAGTTCTTATAATATTAGCACCACAATGAGAAATCACACGAAATCCAAACAGCAGTCGACTGAGGAAAGACAGCTGTCAATCACTGCATTCACGACTGCAGGTAAGCGTAGCTGTAGCCCGAGTGAGAAGAGAGCGCATCTGATAGCTAAATGATCGAGACATACAGCGGGTAAAATAAGTATTGAACCTGTCACCATTTTTCTCAGTAAATATATTTCTAAAGGTGCTGCTGACATGTTAACAAATAAGTTCAGAAATTAAGTTATGTGCCAAGAAATGGAATGACAGGGAAAATGTATTGAACTACTGAAATGTATTTAATACTTTGTACAAAAGCCTTTGTTGGTAATGACAGCTTCAAGATGCCTCCTGCGCATTTTCTTGGCTGTGTTTGGGATCATTGTCTTGCTGAAATGTCCACCCTTGTTACATCTTCTTCATCCTGGTACTGTAGGTGTTGGGACTGAACCAGCTAATATTAATTTCCACTGACTTTCTAATATTCTAATTCCTGATAGATTTCAGCTGGTGTCTTGGCTTTTCTTGCCTTTTTGCACCTCCCTTTCTTCATGTGTTCAATACTTTTTCCCTGTGTCACTTTATTTTATTACACAGAACTTAATTTCTGAACTTATTTGTTTTGTTTTCTTTGTATGTATGGATTACTTGGGTTGTTACCGAGATCTGGTGAAAATTTCAAGTCAACAGCACCTTTAGAAATATATTTATTGAGAAAAATGGTGACGTGTTCAATACTTATTTTACCCGCTGTATGCTTCCTTTAAGTTTCCTTGAGGGAGAGTGGTTTAACAAAGCGCTAAGAAACCGTTTGTGTCTCTAGAACATCTGTGTCGGCGCGCGTTCTTATTGTTATCAGACTGAGGAACAAACTTTCACCCGAGCATGTGGATATTATTGTTTTCTCAACATTAAAACAATATAAACATGATAAACATTGATTACTCAAGTGCATGTATACTGTAATTGGCAGGGCCTGCTTTATTTTTCCATTGGCTCTGCTTGAGATTGAATGTGTTTGTTCTTTTTATGTATATATATATATTTTTTTTAGTTGTTTGTTTTGTTTAAACACTTTTTTAATCAAAAGAAAACCTTGAGATATAACGGAACTTTATTGTAGAACACTGTTGTTTAAAATGCCTAATTATAAGCTTGTTCAGAAATCGTCACAAAAACTAGATTATTCAAAATAACGTCTTTCTCATTAAACCTCATCATATATAAACAAATATTCAAATATCCTTTTTAATGAGCCCAAATATTCAAATACAATATTTTTGAAAAATGCCCATCCCTAATAGAATTTTTATTTTTGGGTGAAATGTCCAAAAGAACCGGTTTGCCGAATTGAATCGGACTTTGCATCATTATTATGTGGTGTAGATGATGAGATATTCAGTCTTCACAATTTTATGTTGAGGGACATTATTATGAAATCATGTAGACGCCAATTAGTAGACGCACAGGCCCAGGCTGTTGATTCACAGTAGAAAATCATACTAAAGAGACAGAACACTAAAGAGACAGAACAGCAACAACAACATACGCTCACACTGACAAGCGCTTGCATGAGAGGGTTATGAGATTACAGCAACTTTAGTTTAAAAGAGTACAAAGACATTTTTACCACTCATAACTTCTGGAGAAAAACTCAGCAGACGCTGGACAAAGATGAAGCTTTCCGAAGTATACTTTGGGCTTAAGATACTCTATTTATACCCAATCATGTTACTGACCTGTTGCCAATTAACCTAATTATCTGCAAATTTTCCTCCCACTTTTTCTTTTTAGTAACTTAATTTTCCAGCCTTTTGTTGCCCCGTCCCAACTTTTGAAAAATGTTGAGGCCATCTAATTCAATTTTTCCCTTAAAATGGTACATGTCCTCAGTTTATATATTTGATATGTTTTACTATGTTCTACTGTTAATATAATATGGATTTATGTGATTTGCAAATCTTTGCATTCTGTTTTTATTTACATTTTACACAGCATCGCAACTATTTTGGGGTAGTATTTTTATGTTTTTTTTAGGGGTTTAGTTTTAGTTAACTATAATAACCTTACAGAGGTTTTCTGTTTTTGCATGAATCTTCAGTGTTTTCCGTAGCGTTGATTTTTGACAAACTGCATGGAAACCAATGTGGGTTAATTCGACTCGCAACACAAAAGATGTACCCAGATTTTTTTTTAACAGGAGGGTTTAAAATCCCATTATTTTTTTATATCCCATTATATAGAGAAAAGAATCTTTAAAACAGACCATAACATGAGTTTTGAGATCGTTATGTGATTAAATGTTCTTCTATTATGTCATTTGCAATGCTTCATAGGATGCATAGTTCGTTCAAATGCACAAGATTTTTCAATACTTTCTGGCTGCAAACAAAATGTCATAAAATTGTGATAAATCCTGAAACTGGTTGGTTTGGTTAAATACTATAAAGAAAATGAAGTAAAATCCCCCTAATGTAAATAAAACAGACTGATATGTGGCTGTGTTCTGACCTTATTGCCGTTGTTGTACATGGCCACCAGACACAGAAGATGGTACATGTGGCCGCACTTTCCCAGTTTGCCGACCAGCTCGGGCTTGATGCCTCTGTAGCTCAGCACTCCCTCGTATCCGGACGCTGTGGCCAGTCGCTCCATGCAGATGGTGCAGTCCTGACGGATATCAACAGTGAGTAACACTGACAGACATCTGCTGCCTCACTCATTAGCTCTGCTAGTAAACAACACAATGCTCGGCTGGTCACATGACGCTCATCAATCACCTCATCAGGAGCCGTCTTGATCTTCTCTGTGTAGTGCCGAACCACGTCCTCTGGGTTTTTACCTGGAAAAACAGACAAAACTAGAATTTAGAATCAGACAGTGCGCTTTAGTCATGTGTTTGTGCAGTATTTAATTTTGATATGTGAACTCTTCCTTAAATCCTTCTTAATTTATGCTTTTTTGTTAAAATCATTCATACTTAGCTTATATGCACGCTAAAAAAACATTTCTTTTCACATTTGTATAGAGTATTTTTTAAATAAAAAATGTACAGAAAAAATCAAATATACAAAAAGAAATTTAAATATAAAATAAAAAAATCAACAACATTCCTATACACCTCTGTACAGAATTAAGCTGTTTACTTCAAAGTTAAAATTAAAAAATAATAAAGTAAAATCTACAAAAAAGAAAACAAAATCTACAAAATAAAATTGTATACACCTTTATACAGAGTTAAGCTGTTTACTTAATAAAACTAAATAAAATAAAATA